CTTTTGTTCTCTTTCGGGTTTTTAACTTTATACCGTTGATTGCGGGGGAAGCCGCAACAGGTCATCTACCCGTCTTCAGTCAGATAGAACGCCCGGTCGTTATTGCTGTACCTAGACCGAAACTTGGCCCAAATACAGCTATGGATCAGATATCAAACTGATCAGAACAGATACTACACTTTATCTTCGACAAAAGGCGGAGAAAGGTATCACCGACGTCTTTAACATCTTTTGGTTTGGATTTCATTTTTTGCCCCCCACCCACCCACCCACCGTTACTGGACACTTTTTTAATCCTTTCTCTTTTCTACCCTTTTGTTCTCTTTCGGGGTTTTAACTTTATACCCGTTGATTGCGGGGGAAGCCGCAACAGGTCATCTACCCGTCTTCAGTCAGATAGAACGCCCGGTCGTTATTGTTGTACCTAGACCGAAACTTGGCCCAAATATAGCTATGGATCAGATATCAAACTGATCAGAACAGATACTACACTTTATCTTCGACAAAAGGCGGAGAAAGGTATCACCGACGTCTTTTAGCTTCATCCTCTCTGACAATTATTTTTTCCGTTTACACTTTTTTCGCTTCTGCTCACCCTCCACCTCGTCTTGGTGTAGTGATTCGAATGCGTCTGTTGAAGGTTCGATGAAGTCTCTAGTAAGGGAAAAAGCGGGTTTACCATAGTGATGAAGCGTCGTCGAAACGGTAATCCAACCCAGTAGGAAAGAAGCTGTTTGTGTGCACAATTTTTTTATTTTTTTTTTCGGATGCATAAGTTGAAAAAAAGAAAAGGTGGTCCTTCAGCACATCCGTTAACGAATTGCAACGGTACAGAGATAGAAGATTAGCATGGCCTCTGCGTAAGGATCACAAGCATAGATCGAGAAATTGTCTCAAAAAAAAAAAAAAAAAACCCAAAGAAGAGATTGGGTCGGTTTATTCTCCCCCTAGGGCGCCCATCCCATCCCATGATGACACGTGTCATGACGTGGAGTGCCCGCTCTCGTCATGCCTGTTCAACGCATAACACACTCTCTCTCTCTCTTTTTTTCTCTCTTTTTTTTTTTTTTTTTTTCTCTCTCTCTTTCTTTCTCTCTTTCTCTGTAGTAGCTTGCTGCACTTCGGAAAAAGATGGACTGACGAAGGTGACAAATGCTTATCTAATAGAGAACGGATCTATGATGTTTCCCTTCTTTTATCCTGTTTGGGCTGGTCGATGTACTCCGCATACAACACTTTTTTTATATAATTTTTATCTTGAGAAAAGGGCGACAACCTGGAGATAAATCATCATTGAACTGACCGGCCCCAGGTAACTCAGAATGATTTTACTGACCAACTGGCTAGATCGTGTTGAGTGTTCGACACTTCACCCAGGTCACACTCACACTAGGATTTTTTGACTGAGCTCTGGACATGATTGCAGTCAGATGCATCCTGGTCCGACCGTAATTGCGTCCAGGTACATTTAGGAGAGCACTAGTGTGAGTATATGCCCTCGGTGTCAGAACAAAAGGCTTTAGGTTGATCTTATGCCAGCAGTTCGTGGGTATACCAACGCTTTTATCTTTACGCATAATAATGCAGGTCCCATAATAATTACATGAGCAACGAGATTCTACGGGAAAGGTGGACTATCAAACGACAACAGAAGAAGACAAAAAAAAAACCACTCTGATCTTCAAATTAACATCTGATCGCTGGTCTTAGAGAAGTCGAAAAAACGCAAAGAAAAAAAAACACAAAGACGTACATGACGTGGCGCTGGGTTTTCTCTCTTGCTTTCAAAACACACGAGGAGTGATGCACCGACCTCTTTCTTCTCGCCCTTTCTTTTCCACCTCTTTCCAGCACGAATAATGATAAACGACAAAATGTACTTCACTACACGACAACTCAAGTCGTTTCACATTGACTCTGATCATCCGACCCGCTCCGCTGTCCTTCTGAGTATGATGTCACTTCCACCCACGCCCCCGCTCCCTTCCCCTGTTCTCTGCAGAGTCTGCATCTGCCAAACACCTTCCTCTCTTCGTCTTCCTCAAAATTCCCATCACCTGCTCGCTTCGCCAATCCTCCTCCTCCTCCTCCTCCTCCTCTTCCTCCTCCTCTTCCTCCTCCTCTTCCTCCTCCTCCTAACGAATCCACCACCTCCTTCTCTCTCTCCATCTGTTTCTTAGCATCCAAATCGCGAACAACTTCCACCTGC